GCCGCGAGAGTAATGGCGACCCGAAGGGTCGCGAAAAAAAATGCGCGCCTCGGGGCGCGCTTCGGTGGGCCCTAAAAAAAAACGGTCCTTAGGAAGGACCCGCTCTATACCATGTGAAAGATAAGAGAACAGGAATGGGATGACTAAGTCAGAGTTGGGTACAAATACAACCCTAGAAAGCTGTACCCCATATGTGCTACCCCACTATAGCCTACAAACATGCATCAGTTATAATACTCTGACAACTTGGGCTCGTCCAGGTGAGGAATTTGGTACCCAAGGGACTTGGGGTGGCCAAATGGGTGCTCAAGTCGCGCACAGTCAAGATGGGAACGTGAGGGACCCTCAAAGTGGGCCTGGAAGCGCCCCCTCTAGTGGAACCGCGATTCCACGAATTGGAAACGCGAATTCCAAGCTGGAGCCGCGTTTCCAATGTTGAAATTCGTGGGTCCAGGCTAGAGCCGCGTCCCCAAGGATGGGAAACGTGCTGGGGTGCCCCAAAGCCGAATTTAGGGTGCCTAGCACTTGATAAAGTCACTCAGGGGGCACCCTATAACTAATATAACCCAACCCCTATTGTCTACACTATTATAATGTAAGCAAATACATACAAACCATAAAACAAACTAGTGAACTAACCTTCAGCATAATTAAAGGAAGATAAGTACCTAACAACAGTCGAGCCAGTAAGCAGCTCCGAGAGCATGATGACAAAGCTGCCAGCAGGCAAGAAGCCTAACAACATGCACAATTGTTGACACAGGTGAAGATATACATGGAGCAATTGCAAGAATATATAAGGCAGGGATGTTCATAAGCATTTATTTCATAAGCATTTATTTCAGAAGCAATTCAACCTGAAGACGTCGCTCTTGGTGGTGACCACGTGTGTGCGGTTGTAATCCGGGCCCACATAGCCAGGAGTGCCCGCCACTCTGGTGGCATCGCCCTCGCAGTAAGTGAGGCGCTTGAGCAGCCCAAAGTCAGCCACCTTGGCGTGCATGTCCGTCATCACAAGGATGTTGGCGGGCTTGATGTCGCTGTGAATGATGGGCGTCGCAAACCCATGCAGATACGCCAGGCCCTCTGCTGCTCCTTGCACCAGGCGCAGCCGCTGCCGCAGTGAGAGAGGGTCTGAAAGAAAGAGAGAAAATAGAAGGACGTGCAAATAAAGTGGGATGCTTTAGACCATGTAACAAAGAGGGTGGTGTGTGTGTGTTTGTAAATGTGTATGAGTGAGTGTGAGTAAGAGTGAGTGAGTGTGTGTGTGTGTAGATGTGTGTGTGTGTGTGTTATTCTACCCTACCAATCTTGGGAAAGATTATAACTCAACGTTGGAGCATTCTTGGTATAACTCAAGAAGGTAGGTATAACTTGCTCTTGGTCTTGAAGATGTGATGCTGCAAGTCCCTGTTACCCACAAACTCTTAAACCATAATCTGTTCCTGCTTTCCGGTCTCCACATTCCGATCCACACAGAAGCCCTGCAGCCACACCAGGTTCACATGGTTGAGCGTTGCCATGGCTCGCACCTGCAGGAGATGATGCATTCAGAGGACAAAAGAGGAGAGGTTTAGGTCTTGGGTACGCCCGGTGAACCCACAGCTATGTTTCCAGGGGCGGATTTGCTCCTTGCAGTGTGTGAGGATGTCGCACAAGCAGTGCATGTTGCACCTGCTCCTAGCTTGGGCCTCACCTCTCTCAAACAGGCCATACAAGAGCCTCACCTCTCTCTGAAAGTCGTTGGTCATGACAGTGGATAGCTTGGATGGCCCACATCTGCCCCTGTGGCGAGTACCCCTTGTACACGACGCCGAAGCCGCCCCTCCCCACCTCGCTCTCCTTGGCCTAGTTGTTTGTGGCCTTCACCATTTGCTGTAGTGTGTATTTCTTACGCACTTCCAGCCCCTGCCACTTCCCTATATGTACACGCACAAAACACACATGATGAAGCATGGGGCGAGTGAGAGGTGTTGAGAGAGATAGGAGCGGAAGAATGGAGGCGGGGATGCAGCAGTGGAAAAGTTGTGCAGGAGTGCAAGAGTGACTCGGCATGGGTGCGAGGTTGGGGGGTTCTCACTTGGTCGGTAGCGCCACAGCAAGCTTGAGAGCACAGCAGCCAGCAGAAGGAAGCCAGCAAATCAGCCCACCGCAATGCCAACTATGGTGCCCGTGGAGAGAGAGGACACTGCAGAGGAAGAAGGGAGGAAGAAAAGAGGGAGGAAGAAGGGAGGAAGAAAGAACATAAGCAATGGTTGATGTCAAACACAAAGCTGGCGTTTGGGAAGCTAGGGTTGGGTAAAGAGGGTTTAGGTGAGAGAGGACAGGAGAGCTGGGCGAGGAAACAACAACCAAGATGGGTCGGATATGCAACACAAAGTAGACGCAGCGGGTGATGTAAGCCTGCACTAAAACAGAGTCTAACCACCTTGTTAGTGTGCAAGTGCAATAGGCATACCAATGATTGCTGTACAGTTGACAACTGTGCAGAGCTAGAAAAAGTACTCTTTCCACCATGTCAGTGCGTCAGTGCAAAAAGGCACACCAGTGGTGGTGGTGGAGTTGACAGTGGTGCAGGTGGAGCAGTTGGGCGAGTCGAGAGGCGAGTAGCCGGCACGGCAGGGGCAGGTCAAGTTGGAGGGGGAGGCTGTAGAATTCCACTACTTTAACAGCTTGATAGAACTTGGAAGCACGGTTCCAACGCACCAAAGATTACAGGAAACGGTCCACTACAGCCAGAGATACACACAAACATAGCAGTGATAATGACTTGGTTTTATATTTAGGTTTGTGCTCTCTGGTTATATACTAGGACGCAATCCAAAAACAAAGCACACAAGAAAGTGTCGACCCAGGTCGCGCGCTGAATTTCGTCGACGAGAAATTCTGAGCCTTGAATTTCGCCGGGTGAATTCCATTGACTGGAATTCTGTAGACGAGAATTTTGGCGACTAGAACTCCGTCGACCACCGACTGTAACTCCCGTGCAAATTTCGTTGACTTTGACACTTCTTTGCCGAGTTTCAAACCAAACGCGACCCGCGATCGATTTCGCCAAACTGTCCCCAAACAGTCCCCAATCTGTCCTGATAGGACACTTTCGGGACACTTGAATCGAAAGGTTTCCAGTTCAAAACTCGCGTGCACCATAGCCAGCGCCTTAGCAGAAACTGTCCTTTCAGGACAGATTGAAGGTTACGAGTTCAGATTCCAGCGCCGACATTTTGTTGCTCATGGCAGCATTTCCTTCTAACACGCCCCTTGTGAGGAGCATGCTGGATCTCTCAAAAGAGTAGATTAATCTTAGGCGCCATGGCTAGGTTTTGAAGAAAACGAGAGTAGCGAGGGAGAAGTTGTACCAACAAAAAAGAGTGATTCAATATTGAGCGAGGGTACAAATAGGAAAGAACAAACAAGAAAGGTGCACCACCAACTAAGAGAATGCTATAACTACAGTAACCAATCCTACAGGCAGTTACATATAGAAAATATTAACTTATATTTTCCGACACGCCCCCATAACTGGCTGTAGGAGAGTATGCAGTTAGCGCACCCTTAAGGGGTACATCACGATTACACAGCGGAAATTGCAGCAACAAACAAGTGCAGTGACAACCATTGCAGTGGTGGCAGATCCAGCTGTAGCACACCCTGGGCCAAGGTAGAAACAGTAGCAGGTGTAGGGGCGGCAGGTCGCCTGAGGAGCAGGCTCTGTGGCTGCAACGTGCAGCAGGACAACAGCGGCTCGACGGCAGCACCTGCAGGCCCCTAGCAGCAAGCAGCAGAAGCAAAGGCAAAAGAGGCAGGTGGCAGCAGGGGCGGCAGCTGGAGGTGCCACGGTAGCAGTGGGCGTCAGCAGCAGATGCCCGGCTGACTTCCGCCACCCCCTCTCACCCTCCCCCCCACAGCTGCAAGCGCGGCAGTGAGAGAGAGGGGAGGGGGGACGGCTGTTGGTGCTGCAAAATCTCTCTCGCCACCCCCTCACACTCCCCCCCATCCCCCACAGCGACCGGCGCTGCAGGGAGAGAGAGGAGAGAGGAAGGCGTCGGCGGTTTCCTGCGGGTGCGCTCCCGCCACTCCCTCACCCTCCCCCCCACAGCGACAGTCGCGTATGGGGCGATAAAGAGCGACGGCAGGTGCTGCTGGCGGCTCACAGCAGCCACCCCGTCACACCACCTCCCCCACTGCCCGCCACACCTTCGACCTCCCCCCACAGCAGGAGCACGCACTACAGTAGCAAGTGCGACAGCTGCAGCGGGACCCGGGGGAGGGTGGGCGGGGATAGTTGCTCGAGCGCGACGAGCGGGACAGAGGGCCGAAACGGAGGCGAGACGAAGCGGCGACGAGGCAGCGTGGCCGCGTACAACGGGGCGACTAGGCAGCGCGACAAGCAGAGCTCCGCCTTCGCCTCCTCGATCGCGCACGCGATTATGACCGTCGCGGATATCAACGCAACGGTCATACTGGCAGCACGATCGCAGCAGAAAATCGTTGGGAGGGAGGGCCGCCATGACAGGGTCAAAAATCGGTGGGCCCATTGATCGAAAACTAGCTCGATACCATCTCAAAAGAGTAGATTAATCTTAGGCGCCATGGCTAGGTTTTGAAGAAAACGAGAGTAGCGAGGGAGAAGTTGTACCAACAAAAAAGAGTGATTCAATATTGAGCGAGGCTACAAATAGGAAAGAACAAACAAGAAAGGTGCACCACCAACTAAGAGAATGCTATAACTACAGTAACCAATCCTACAGGCAGTTACATATAGAAAATATTAACTTATATTTTCCGACAGGATCAGCCCCACTGTTGCACAACAACGATTGAAGGCTGCCTTGTCGAGCCGCTTCGTGAAAAAATTCGCGGGTTGCGCCGCCGTGGGGATGTGCTGCAGCTCCAACTTCTTCATGCTTCATGCGCCCCTGCAGCCCGCCCGCCTGGCTGAGCTGCACCGCAAGCATGTTGTCGACGTGCAGGGTGGTGGGAACACCCTTCTTGAGTAGCTAAAACTCCCACAGCAGGAACCTCAGCTTGCGTCCCTCCTTTCCCGCTTCCACCGCAGCCACAAGCTCGCTCTCGGTGGAGGAAAGTTTGGTTGCACCCTGTAGCTTCTTGGCCTGCCAGGAAACGGAAGCTTTGCCAAGCTTGAAGAGGTAGCCTCCTGTGGAAAACTGGTTCTCGTTGTCGCTCGCATCATCCGCATCTGAATACCCCACGAGGGTCAAACTTTCCGGTCCTCCCTTGAGGCAGGCCAGTAGGAGAGTGTGCGGAAGAGCTCATGCCAATGCGTATCCGTCCTTAGGTGTGCACCTGTTGCAAGGCGGGTGCACACAAAAGAGAGGTAAGGACGGGTTGACATGGCTGCAAACTGCACCATGCCGAGAATTGATAAGTACTCGGTCATGGTTTGGTCGGCAAATTGCCCGGCATCCTGCTTTGGCAAAGCTGATAGAGGAGAGAGGAGTGATCAACTGCTTCTTCGGTGGCGCCCCCTTGAAGAACCGCTGCTGCACCTTCGCCACGTATGCATTCTGGTGCAGGAAGAGTGTCCTGTTGGGGCAGTCACGCACAATCTGCAGCCCCAGGAAGCGCTCCACTGGCTCCACCCTACGGAGCTTAAACGCCTTGGCCAGCAGCTCCTTCAAGTCCTGCGGCAGCTGCTTGTCTTCACTTGCTGCTAGCAGGTTATCCACGTAGATTAGCAGCCACACTCGCTTCCCGCTCGCCCCATCCTTCTAGTATAAGGCCTGGTGCACAAGGTTCTTCCTGTACCCCTCTACAAGGAGCTCCTTGTCCAACTCCTTGTACCACAGAAGGGGACTCTGCTTGAGTCCATAAAGGCTCTTTTGCAAGAGGCACACCTTGCTGCTACCGTCGGTGAAGTAGGGTAAGGCGGCTGCTGCATGTAGATCTCGTGGTCGATGGTGCCGCGAAGAAATGCATTCTTCACATCACGCTGCAGCAAATCCAGGTCCATAGCTGCTGCAATTGAGAGGAGCACGCGAACGAGGTGTAGCTGCCAACAGGAGCATAGATGTCGTCGTAGTCGATGCCGAAGCGCTGGCTGAAGCCTTTTGCCATGAGCCTAGCCTTGTACTTCTCCACAGTGCCATCAGGCCGCAGCTTCTTCTTCAGCAGCCACTTGACGCTGACTGTTTTGCGGCCTTCAGGTAGGTTGGCCAACGACCAAGTGCCTTGCTCATCAAGGCTCTCCATCTTCTTCTTCATAGCAGCCCACAATTCCTCTTCAGGTCCGGTCAATGCTGCTGCCAGATCGAGGATAACACCTCCCCAAGCGCCTTCCTCCTCCTCATCCTCGTCTAGATACTCCACTTCGTCGTCGCGGTCTGTGTCGCAATCGTCCTCAGCAAGGTACGCCATGTCGTACGGGTTGTTCTCATCGTCTGCAACATGCGCGCTCATGGCTGACGGTTGAAACCGTACAAGTGTCACCCCCTTGTTAGGCCTGCTAAAGCGACGTGGGGGATGTGGAATGGGCTGGATGGGAGAAGCTGCAGGTGAAGGCTCATGCTCATGGGCCACTGACGGCTGCTCATCCACTGCCATCTCTCCTTCCTCCTCATGATCAGCCGTGTCACCTCCGTCCTCAAAGGGACCATCTTCTGGTCCCACAGGCGCCGAATCAGCACTTGAGGAAGGACCTGGAGGTGGCCCTGACGTGGGTGCCTTGCTGCCCGCAGGGCCCACCAAGCGATCAATGTGTTGCTCGCCCCTCTGCACGGACGGCACCGGGACCACGATGACAGTACGTGGTGACGGCAGATTCTTCTCAGGGTCGTGGGGCTCAGAAAAGAGAGATGGGAGAGACACAAAGGGTGGTGTGGGCTGGTCACTCCCTTCACCCACACATGCACGCCACTCCTGCCACCTTTCAAGTGACATATGCTTATAAAAATGTGCATCTTGGGTGATGACCATGCGCTTTGACTCAACATCCACCACACGCCATCCCTTGCTTTCCATGCTCATGCCCAAATTCATGCCCCAACGAGTCTTGATTGCAAGCTTCCCCTCACGCTCATGCTCAGGGATGAGGTATTGCACCATGCACCCAAACACACGAACCATGGACACATCGGGCTTGACTTTGAAGCACACCATGGGGCAGGGTGGACTGGTGCACACGAATTACCACCCACAAGAACTGCTGGAAAGCAAAGTGCCACCAGTGTGCTTTCACCCCCATGTGCCCCAACATCACACGCATGCCCTCAGTTACCGTACGGTTGCGACGTCCAACCACACCGTTCCGCTGGGGGGTGGAGGGTCAGGAAAGTTGATGCAGGATTCCTTGTTGCTTCAGTAGCAGCAAGAACTCGTTCGACATAAACTCCCCTCCCCAGTCCGATTGCAACACCTTTAGTGTCATCCCGGTCTGGCGTTCAGCTTCGGGAAGCCACTCGAAGGCAGCAAGCGCGTCGCTCTTCAGCTTCAATGTCTTCCCCCAGGTGTACCGTGAGGCATGGTCCACGAGAAGAATGTATTACTTGCTTCCATCCATGGCTGGGGTCTGGAATGGACCGCATACGTAAATATGAACTAGCCTAAGAACCTGCTCCTCTCGCTCGTCGTGCAGCGGAAATGTTTGGAGAGTGAGCTTTGCTTCGTGGCAGGAAGTGCACGGCATATCCTCACCTCCTTTCTCCAGGTCAATACCTAACACGCCGTTGCTCGTGGCTGTCCGCTTCACACCATCAAAGTGGACGTGCCCAATGCGAGCGTGCCATAGGTTGGGCGTTGCCTTGGAGCCCACCACGTACGTCTTAAGGCTGGCCGCTTCGTCCTTCATTTCTGGCTTGCTTGACGCCACATCAGCAACCGCCTTAGTCATGCCGTTGCATGTCACTGCACCCACTGTGTCATTGCATGCCGCTCCAACCGCCGTGCCATTGCATCTCGCTGCAGCTGCTGTGCCGTTGCATGCCGCTCTAGCCATCCTGCCGTTGCTTGCTGGTCACGGTTTCAAGCAAAGGCAGATTAGACGATGGCAGTATCGGGCCGTTGTAGCCACGTGTCCTCCCGATGCCACGATGTGATTGACACCTTCTTCGGTTCGCAGATTTGCTCCCCTGTCCGTGAGCTGCCCAGGGGAGACCAAGTTGGCCTTCATTCCTGGCACAAAGAGGACATCATGGAGGGTCACACGCAAACCGTAGTGCCATCTAGCAAAACCTCACCAGCGCCGGCGACCTCCTGCATTGAACCATGAAAACCTTTGACGGATTTCGTTGCAGATGGGTCATGAATCACCGTGAACCACTCCTTGTGGCAGGTCATATGCTGGGAGCATCCCGAGTCAAGGAACCACAAGTCCTTGTCGTCGGCCAGCAACTTTGCAGCCAAACACGTGACGGTGAGTGCCACGCCCTTCCTGTCTCCTTCAGCTACATTCGCAGCTGCCGCGGGCATTTCATCCTTCTTATTGTTGGGGCACTTGGCTGCCATGTGCCCCTCCTCATGGCAGTTGTAGCAGCACCCCTTGAAGGGTGTTCGCTTCTTCTCCCTCTTGCCATCCTTCTTCTTGTCCGTCTGCTCCCTTCCTCCTTTTCCTTCCTTGCCGTTGACCCCCGTTGTAGCCACGAAGGTGTTGACAGTGCCCGAGAAAGCAGATGCATTGCTGGTGATCTGCTTGTAGCACTTTTTGATGGAGAGAGTCTGCTCTCCATCAACACCTCGTTGCACACACGTTCCACTGTCATGTCAGGGCTGGAAATGTTAAGCTTGCGGTGAAGAAACCTGTACTCCAGTGGCAGGCCCTTCAACACGTGGGGGGCGAACGTGGCCATGTAGACCTCCTGTCTGGTGGTCAGCAGCTCTGCTCGGATGGTGCGGGCCCTATTGCAGTAGGATTCCGCCGTCTCATCATCTCCCTTCCTGAGCTAGGCTAGCTGGGTCTGAAGTAGGGAAGCGTGGAGGGCATTACGAGCTTGATAGATAGACAAGATACATGCCCACGCTAGCTGCCTGACTTTCTCTTGCTGAGAGAAACCAGAGATGGACACTCAGATAGGTGGAGAAACACAGCGGTTCAGCACCATGAATGCAATCATTTGGCCCTTTGCATACTCCCTTCGTTGCATGGGGTTGTTTGTAGCCGGGCTTGGTGCTGTCCCGTTGCAAGACTTCCACAAATCAGCACACTGGAGCTGAGGCCGGATGGCGCTGACCCACGCGGTGAGGTCGTGCCTTTGCTCTAGCAACGGCGTCACGGAAATGTGCTTGACTCCGAGTTTCAAACGGAACGCGACCCGAGATCGATCTCGCCAAAATGTCCCCAAACTGTCCCCAATCTGTCCTGACAGGACACTTTCGGGACACTTGAATCAAAAGGTTTCTAGTTCGAAACTCGCGTGCACCATAACCGGCGCCTTAGCAGAAACTGTCCTGAATCTGTCCAGGAACACTTTCAGGACAGATTGAAGGCCATGAGTTCAAATCTCAGCGCCGACATTTTGTTGCTCATGGCAGCATTTCCTTCTAACACAGGCGGGGGGAGGCGGCACGCACTGCCCATGGCTGTCACACGGGCCGTTGTTCGTGATGCTGCAGAACGCCTGGACGGCTGCACTGGGTGGCGTTGGCTGAGCACTCCGCGCCCGCACTCAGCGTAAGGTAGTTGCCCGCCACACTCACCCTCGCCTCCTTGCCTGCGCCCACCACCGAGTGATCCCGCATCGCAGTGAAGCTGCTGGCACATTTCCCAATAGTGCCGTCGCCCGTGGGTGATCTGAGTGGAGCAGACCTGGCACCCAGTAGCGAGGAGCAGGGCATTGCCAAAGAAGAAGTTGTGAGCCAAATTGATGAGCGTATCGCCATCCACCACAATGCTCTTGAAGGTGCGGTTGATGCGCCCGTACAGGCTGATGCCGCTCACATTGCTGGGGGGAGTAGGAGGAGCAAGGAAGTGTCAATAGGTGTATTCACGCCCATGTTGAAGTGAGCACAAAAACCAATTCCCTTAAATTTACCAACCATCAAAAGAGCATGTCCACAAGGTCAGCTTCTTGCATACACGTGAGCTGCACAAGTGCATGAGGGAGTGGGAGTACCGTGCTTGAACCTGCAGTGAGTAAAGAGTGAGCAAACTGATTGTCTCACATTTGGTTGACACACTTGTCGATTATGCACTCTGGCAGAGGCCCATAGAGGTAGTTGTTGCTCATCATGCTGCCTGCACACAGCACACAACACTCAGCGCACAGCATACAGCACAGAGCACAACAGCACATGGCACACACCACACAGCACATGGCACACGGCACACAGCACACAGCACACAACACACAGAGCACGACACACAGCACACGAGACACAGCACACAGCGCACAACACTTGACATACAGCACACAGCATACAGCACACGGCACACAGCACACAACACACGACACACAGCACACGGCACACAACGTAGCTGTACCTCATCAATGCAAGATCTAGAAAGTAGCAGCACGAGCAATAGACACTCGCTAACTTCAACATGCATACACAATGAGAAACTAGATTCCACACAACACTTCCCCACCTCCCTCCCTATGAGTCTATGTGTGGTGTTTGCCACTCGTTCTTCACTCTACTGCAGTTCATGACATGCTGCATGACTCACAACCATGCAAGGATGACCCTCGCATTGCAACTTAGCCCTACGATCTATGACACACACATAGCATGTGTCACATATACTTGACTCTAGTCTTGGCGGGCCAGCCTTCTTCTTGCTTCTCATGTCAACACCGTTTTTCCATTTTCACCATGCTTACCATTCAGGACATGAGCATCATTGCTGGTAACAGTTGTCCCCCCAATGCGTACATTGCTGGTAAATATGCCGTGCAATAAATATGCTAGTGCTCTGCTTGGGGCACATGTGAAACATATGGCACCATTGGCTAGGCTTGTCAAGGCACATAGCCTATGATTCAGAGGTGGTGCACCTCGTACTTTCAAGAGCTTCACCTTCCACTTTCATGTGCAAGCCTACAGTGAAAAGAGAAGGAGCTAATTAAACGTTGTTTGTCATGCGATGCGCCACAACCACTCACATGCACCACAACCACTCACATGCGCCACAGCCACTCACATGCGCCACAGCAACTCACATGCGCCACAGCCACTCACATGCGCCACAGCCACTCACATGCGCCATAGCAACTCACATGCGCCACAGCCACACACATACGCCACAGCCACTCACATGTGCCACAGCCACTCACATGCGCCACAGCCACTCACATGCACCACAGACACTCACATGCGCCATAGCTCGGGTAGCGAGCAGATGGTAGATGGCAGAGTGCCCTCAATGCTGCTGTTGTCCAGCCAGCTGCAGAGAGAAGGCGGAGTGGGAGTAGAAACAGGGATATCATAAAGAGGCACAAAGACGGAGGAGCAGACACAGACACAGAAGACACAGACAAAAAGAGAGAAATTGAGAGCAAGAGAAGTCGTAATGAGTGGCTCGTGACAAAGTGCAAGCAATTAACACTTTGCCCGCGTGCCCTCTGCATGTGTTCCCATCTGCCCTAGGTACTTATGGCCCTATGGGGTATACCTCCAGCGCCCATGACTCAGGTTTGGTCTTGATATTGCAATCAACAGCTTGCGTCGTCGGCCGAAGGCTGTGGGCGCTTGATAGCACAGCTTTTGGCCACACACGAGGAGGCGACAAGACTAGATTAGCATCAGAGACAACACGCTCTAAGAAGCTCACACGGCTCCGACATCTGCATTGACCGCCTTCGCTGAACTGTACGTGTCCTGTCTTGGTGATGACATGTTTCTCTCTTTTTAGCTCCCTCTTCAACCACCTCATCCCCAACACCCCACTCCCCCTATCTCCCCTCCGTCTGGCTTCCCCTCCCTGAGCAACCAACTAGTCCTGCCTCCACTTCCCTCTCCTTCCCCACTCCCCTCCTCTTGCTGGAAGAAACCGCCTATCAATAAGACATGGTTGTAGTTTGCTTGTGCTCCTCCCTCGTATTTTCAGAGACCTCTCCTCGAACTACTTTTCTGGCTCGGTGCTCCGAGTCTTCAGTAGCAACATCCAGACTGTGTATGCCCGTCTCCTTCCTCCACCACTTGCACTCCCTTTTTCACCTTTCCTGCCTGCCTTTTCTTCACTCCCTTCCGCTTTCTTCCTCTTTCGCTATACCCCCCACCCCCCCCTCCCTCCCCACACCCCCCAATCTGTCAGAACATATCTATAGCTTATACTGCTGTGTAGGCTGTAGTGGGGTATCCCATAGGGGGTACAACCCAGTTAGGGTTTCATATCTGTACTGCTTTCATTCATAGTTCATTCATTCCTGTTTTCCTATTTTCACATGGTATAGAGCGGGTCCTACCTTAGGACCGTTGTCTGGGCCCACCGACGCGCGCCCCGAGGCGCGCCCTTTTTTTTAGCGACCCCTCGGGTCGCCTTTTCACTCGCGGCCCCGCCGCCTCCTCTGACGCGGCTTTGCCGCCTCCCCTGACGCGGCTCAGCCGCCTCCCTTGACGCGGCCCCGCCGCCTCTTTTAACGCGGCCCCGCCGCCTCCCTTGACGCGGCCCCGCCGCCTCCCTTGACGCGGCCTCGCCGCCTCCCCTGACGCGGCCCCGCCGCCTCCCCTGACGCGGCCCTGCCGCCTCCCTTGACGCGGCCCCGCCGCCTCCCTTGACGCGGCCCCGCCGCCTCCCCTGACGCGGCCCCGCCGCCTCCCCTGACGAGGCCCCGCCGCCTCCCCTGACGCGACTCCGCCGCCTCCCCTGACGCGGCCCCGCCGCCTCCATTGACGCGGCCCCGCCGCCTCCCCTGACGCGGCCACGCCGCCTCCTCTGACGCGGCCCCGCCTCTGCTGCCGACGGCCCCGCCGCTGCACTCTACGGCCCGCCGCTGCACCCTGCCGGCCCGTCGCTGCTCCTGCCGGCCCGCCGCTGCACCCTGCCGGCCCGCCGCTGCT